CTTTCCTTCTTTCCTTGTTTCTTCTTTTCTTCGTTTTCATTTTGTTCTTCTTTGTTTTTTTTTTCTGTTTTTCTTTTTTTCTTCTTTTTCATTCTTTTTCATTCCTTCTTTGCTTGTTTCCTTCTTTTCCTCTTGCCTGTTTTCTTCTTCTTAATTATTTTTTTCTTCTTATCTTATTTCCTTCTTTCCCTTTTTGCCTCGCGCCCCTCCCTCAACAGTGCGGCCCGGCTCGAGGTATGGTTGCACCTGCTCCACGTGGGCGTGCTGGGAGACGTGTACCTGCACAACCCCCGTGGCTCCAACAACAAGTTTGCTGCCAAGCAAAAGCCACAAGCAAAGCAGAAAGCAGAAGAGCTGTATGAAGTCAGATGTCATTCGAACCGGATTCACAGACACGATTTGCTGATGTCATCTTCCAAGTTCCAAAGGCATGGAACCTTGCTCGATTGTATTTTCCCAGGTTGAGTGAGCAGCAGAACAACGCGCAGAACCAGAACCTTTTGGCATGTCTTCAATGTGTGTTTTGTGGCATTCATGAGTTGAGTGCCTGAGTACCTGAGCATGGGTGACAGTTTGACACCTGAGTGAGGAACAGACTCTTTGACTCGCAGAACAACGCGCAAGGTCTCGGGCACCTTCCGTGAGAGTCGGCCCGCAAGCTCGTCAGGTGGATACCAGATTGGCGATGACTGTAATCCCGTCTGTCAGGACACTGAAGTTTTGAAGGTTCGGGCAAATGGGCAACATTTCCGTCGCAGGATGAGAATCGGAATTATGATCAAACCAAAGAGGGCGCCATGAAGGCCGTGGTTGCTGTGTCGGTTGCAAGGCCGCATGCATGCTCTCAGGGTGCTATGACCTTCTACCAGGGATCTGAGCTCTACATCGAGTGGGTCCGGCGATCGGAATCGGAGCATGACTCGTTCGATGCGCGACGTGCAGGCCGCCCAGCATGGCTGCGGTGTGAACCAGCCCAACGTCATGTGCCAGATGGCCAGCCGCCTCATTGCGTTTCACACTCAAAGTGTTGCACACTTTGCGTTTCACTTTGTGTCACTCACATTCTCTTTCCAGAAGTTGGAGTGTGTTCTCCCGACTTTCTTTTCGACCCCTTGATCTTGGTACAGCTTCCCTTGGCCTTTTTTTTTCTTCCTTTTTTTCCCGTTTTTCGTGGTTTCGTAGGTGTTGCAGTACATGTGCGAGAAGGACAACCCGGGGCTGCGGGACGGCACCAAGCGGGGCAATGACAACACGGCCGGCGGGGAACAGGAGCTGAGAGACGACCAGAATGACCGGAATGGAGACCCAGTGAGAAAAGCTGAGACACACGTGAAGTCTGAGTGGACTGAGAGTGTGACTCACGTTGGAGCAAGATGTTTACTGCTGTTCTCATGTTTTCCCCATCCCTTTCAAAGTGGCCAGGAGCCGCCGACAGCAGTGGAAGCGGCTGAAACTGCGCTGGGCCAGCACGAGCCTTTGGACTTCTACTTGGATTGCAAGCAGCGCCTCGGAGAGAATCCAATTGAAATAAGTGAAAGGATTGAAAGAAATTGAAAGACATTGAAATTGACGGAATGCCAATACGGATACGCCAATCGCTAGGCGGGAGCGCCAGAAAGGTCTCTACACCGCCGACCAAAATGTCCGCGACGACCGTGGCGCCACGGCCACCAGGCGACGGCGATCGGCGCATCGCCGGGCGTGCCATCGGCGATCGGCGAGTGCAGGCAGAACCCGCAGGGCAACGCGGCTCGGCACCCGGCACCCACGGCACCCACGGCACCCACCCGTCAGTCAGTTGTGCATGGCCGGATGGCCAAGGCCAACAACAGGCACGGACTGGAGTGCCCCGAGGACCTGACACCTGACACGTAGCGCATAGCACTGCCTAGCTCTGCCTAGCGCTGCCTAGCCTTGCCTAGCGCTGCCTAGCGCTGCACAGCTGTGAGCGCTGTGACACCGTGAGTCAGGAAAGAGACTACTACCCTTACTGGCACCCAACCCCGTGGCATGATATCGCCGTGATTACCGATGAGTCGTCCTGGCCTCAACCACACTGGGCCAGCCATCAGGATGGCGCCCAGGCCCAGAAGATGTGAGTACTACCAAAGCGAGTCACAGAATGTCCGTGCCAAAGGCACCGTTGGATTGGCACATCTGGCACCATGGCCACATAGGCCACATGTTTCAGTGACGCGTTCGCAGGCTTTTGCTCCGAGCCGGAGCACAACAATCCAGAGGCATGTCAAGATGCTGGCGCAGAATGGAAGGAGAGGGGAAGAATCAACAGACCGAATCAAGATGAAAGGAGAGGGGAGACGCGCTTTGTCGAAGGAGAGAGAGGCACATGGAGAAGATCCTCCTGACTGTGCCACTTGCTCATTGGGAGGTCGAACTCCCCTTCACAAGGCCCCCAAGTCTCCTGCCTTCTGCGGGTCGGTTTGGGGTTTGTTCAGGGGTGCTTTTAGAGCCTGTGTCCGACGTCTGCGCTTGCTGACAT